TCCAAAACAATTATTCAATTATATTGCTGGTTGCACAGTCAGCCAGATGTTTAGATTGGATTTGGATTTTTTATCCACCTATCGAGTCCTTCCCAAGGACCTGGGATAGGCAGATGTTGTTGTTTGATGGTGCTAAAGGTATTATCACAACATGTAAGCTGTTCCAAGTAAAGCTGCCTTTTGCAATTGACTGATGGTGATTTTGCCAATGCTGATAGTCTTTAAGTGTTGCTCCAGATGTTTTGGGATTGCACCCAAGTCACCTATTACTATTAGTACTATTTTTGCTTTCTTTTGCCACAGTTGTTCTATTTCTATTTGCAGATCTTTGTATTTGTGACTTTCTATTATTATTATTATTATTATTATTATTATTATTATTATCTATAACCACCCACTCCCATAGACTCTGGATGACTTCTGCTGGACAGGTTCAATTCTCTGAACAAGCATTCTTGCATTCTTTTGTTTCTTATGCCCAAAGCAATTTGATTTTTGAGCAAAGATTCAGTCAACATACCAAAGTCACAAGAACTGACTCTTTAGTTTCAGACCTGTTACAAATTTTTCAACTAAGTTTCTTTTTGTATGTGTGATCTGAAGACAAATTATTCATAGTTTTTCACAACACACAATAGGCCACAAATTTCTGCAATAGGGTTTTAAATTTATTTTCTTTTCCTTCCACAAACAGAAATGTATTATACACATCAAGGGCACCTACTCCAGCCGCTGTCAGGAAGAGCGTTCTTTTTTTTTTCTTTTTTCTTTTTCTGTTCGTTACCCTTTTTATGGTATCCAGTTGCTCTCAAGCACAAAAGAAATGCTTTGTTGAAAGCATAGCCCTTGGCCTTCCACATTGCCAGTATGCTTCTGTTCTGTTGAAAGTTTCAAAGCAGCCTTTCTCTCCCTGCAGCTGTCACCACTCAGCTAACACCAAGGAGGGCACTATTCTCTAATGGTAGCTCAGTATTACTATAATTGATTTGTGGTTTGATTGTGCAGTAATACTCAGATATTCTTCTTTTAATAAACTAGCAGAAGAGTTTTATTTTGTTGGACCAAATCTGGGTCTCCAACACACCATCACGGCTGCATGGAAATTCAACTTCACTTCTAACACAAAGTGTTGTTCATTTATGGGGAGCCAACACCAGAAGAGATGACCTGACTATGTTTATTAAGATCAGCTCAACTCTGACCTAGAACAAAAAAGTACTTAGCATATTTGCAAGGACCAGACCATTTCTCCCCCTAACATGGGTAGGTTTCACTTTTGATATACAGCAAAGTCTTCCCAGTAAACAATGATTTAATTATGGTTGAATGTATGTAAAATCAGTAGGCTGCAACACAAACCAAAAAAGAAACTCCTTGATAAATTGTTTTGGTAAACAATAATTATGGAATAGCAATTCCAGAAAAAACACGAAACATAAATTACAACAAAGGAAAAGTATAAGGCAGGGATGCCCTGCAGGAAGAAAAATACAGTGGTACCTCGGGTTACGAACGCCTCTGCTAACAAACTTTTCGGGTTACGACCAGCTCCAGCCGCAAAAATTTACCTCGCTTTGCGAACTCCACCTCGGGTTACAAACCGGACCCGCGGCCATTTTTCCACCCGACACATGGTCCGCAGCCATTTTCCGCCCCTGACACGTGGCCTGCGGCCATTTTTCCACCCCTGACCTGTGGTCTGCAGCCATTTTTCCGCCCTGACATGTGGTCCACGGCCATTTTCCGCCCCTAACATGTGGTCCTAGGGAGGGGGACTCTCCCTCCAAGCAATAGTCGCCTCCCTGTCCTCCATGCCAGAATGGATTAATGGTAATTACATTGAACCTTATGGGGAAATTTCCTTGGGGTGCGACCAATTCGGGCTGCGACCAGAGTCACGGAATGAATTAAGTTCGTAAACCAAGGTTCCACTGTACTCTATATGGGGCAATGGCTCTCCTTCTGCATGAAGAAACAAGACAGTGGGAAGCAATGGTTACTTTTCTGGAAATAGAACCCCCATTTTTAAGCCTTGTTCCTTGTATAATCTAGCCTGATTAGGTAACGGAATCATATATGGTTCTGGATTAAATCTGGTCTTCTATTTCTGCTTAAAAATAGATCCAAGGACTCAGAATGCCCAGTGGATTTCATTTAGTTAGTTGAATTTTCAGCAAATGCTTTCTCCATCCCTCTCGTTCACAAACTTCAGTATCCAGCTGCCATCTAGTTTCAAAAGCAGTTTCCTGTGAAATATGCTGTTAAACATTCACAATTATTTTATGGTATTTCTAAAATCTTACCCTTTTAAAACATACTGGAAAATGTTTTCAATAATACCAAACATTACCTTAGGTTGACGCTTGTTCCATGGCATAGGAGATTTTTTAATTAATACAGCAATGAAGAAACCTCCAGTATTCTGATGATGTGGTAAAATTCTAAAACTAGATAAGCAGCAAGTATTTTGTATCAATATGCATATTCTTAAACTCTAGTTAAGTCTGATCAGAAAATCTGATTTCTTTAAAAAAAACTTTAGTCAAATTAAAAATTATCTAATTTTTGCATGATTTTTTACAACAAAGTTGCTTGCTTAGTCAGGTATCTTATTAAGGAGGACTCAGAGTCTGAAGCTTAGCTATTACAGCTGTTTTGTGACATCTCCCTTCCCAAAACAGCCTCATTCAGTAGGCATGGCATCTATATTTCCTTATCATTATTAGCCAACAACTTGGAACACCATAACCTGGATTTCAAGGGCACTCTGAGTGCTGGCCAAATATTTAACCTCTCTCACCTTCCCCAAACTGAGAGAGGACTACTGGGCATGGCATAATGGGTTACCATTAGTTCTCCTACTGAGAAAATACCTCAAAATTCCCTGATCTGAATGAGTTTGCCCTTGTGGTTCAAAGGAGATAGAAACAACTGATATGTACAACTATAATTTCTCTTGGAACATATAGCATTCCCTTATTTTGCCTCTTCTGTGACAGTATTCATTATTATACAAAGCTCCTACTTTCCAGTTTCAACATTACTAATACTATAGCTAAGTTCTGTATTGCCATGGCTAAAATGAGTCATCAAATATTGTATCTTTGACTATCATATTTTTAGATGGTTTTATGTGGATCGTTTGTAATACTGTTAAAGAATTTGGAACTTGCTGGAGAAAGATAGCATATAAAATATTGCAGCCCACCCCACCCAACTTGTAAAAACCATTCTCTAGTTTTATGCACCCTTTTTGGGGCAACATCTCAATGCATATCTCTGAGGGAGGATGGGAAGTAGATGTTCTTAATGCTGTTGGACTTTATTAAACCCTTAAAATACATCTCTAGATCTTAATTTTTTAACTATATACCTCTCCCAGTTGGGCACATACTTGGCAATGTTTAAATGAACTTGAACTCAACACATGGTTACAAATATGTTGAAGAGAAAACTTTACATACCAGCGTTCCAAATGTAATGCTTTAAGTTTTTGTTCATCTTTTAAAGGGAACATTGTGGGGCGGATCTGTGTGTGCCTGCTAGAAGGTACTTCTTTCCAGTCTTCAAACCAATGACCATCTTTGGTCATTACCTAGGTGGGAAAATACAAATGTATTTCAAATTCTACAATTAATCTGTTCAACAAAGCAGTGCACGTTCCCTTTCTCTCATGAGACATAATGCTGAAATGTAACAAGGGACAACTGACTACCCTGAAGCTCATCAATTCAAATGATACTGAAATTGGTTGCTTTGTAGTATGGTTAACCTGGCTTGGGAAAAAAATATCTTGGGAAAAGATATCTTCTTTGTGGTGTTATTGCTAAAAGATCTCTCTGCCAACCAGGAGATGCTTCCCAAAAATATGAATTACCTACCCAGAATCAATGGAAAAAGAAAGTCCCTGTTAATACCAAAGACGTAAACAGCCTCATCTGCTAAACATTATATATAATACAAAACAAGATGGGATTTTCAAGAAAGTTACAGCATTATGAGGGAACAAAGTGTGCTGATTTTATAAACATTGGAGCAAGGATTCTTCTGAGGGACATAACCTTCCCAAATTTCAGATAGGTACACTGAGGAGTTTGGGCAAAAGGAAATTATGCCTCTAATAAACACTACATCTTTCTTTCTTTCTTATGTAGAAGAGCTGACGGTCAGAGGATACATGGGAAATACAATGAAGGAACTCACTGATCTTCTCCGTAAAAGAAATCAGTTGCTACAAAACCAGTTCAGCCAGTTAATGGAGCTCAGAAAAGATTAAGGATGAGAGATTGGACAGCAGTGACATATAGTGAATATCTCTGCCTCCTATCTATCCAATCCATCCGACCCAAATCCTGTGATTAGGATGAGCAATAATGATTTAACTATGACACAAACACTAAGGACACTCTGATTTAAAGCAAACTTGTCAGTCACTGAATTCACCATTCCCCTCTCCTACCACAGCATTTATATAAATGACCAAAGTTCTTCCCTGCCCCACCTCCTTTTTTGGTACAGTTCACAAATGTATCACTGTTTGCAGCATGCTTGAATTCCAGAGAAACCATGCTGAGACTTGAAAAGGGTAGGTTCAGACTAATGATTTCATTTTGGATAAATAAAATTGAACCTACTTAGGCTTGGAAAATTAGTTTGTTTACATCTTATATAACTCTCTAATTACAGCACACATTTCTATAAAATTACCTTCCATTGTGTAATGCCTGGCAATCTTTTCAAACCTGGCAACTCAGAAGAGACATCAGCAAGTTCTAAGGCACCTTCAAAAAACAGATCAATCAACATTATATGCATATTATTAACCAGGCTGTGAGAGTATGTTTCAATGTCTACAATAACTTCATATATCAAAAGTAAATTTGATACAAATTTAATTTGCATTGAAAATCATTCCTAGATTACAATTTAATACATGGATTGAACTTAGGGTTAGCCTTAACCCTACTGGTTGGTCAATTCAAGTAGAGAGGTGCTTATAAGAGTCCAAAAAGCAACTCTTGTCATTGCTAAATTTGCAAGTCATTTTAGAAATAACTATGCCCCAGCAGCCATTACATTATTTAAGCTAAAGTTCTGATTATGATTACGATGTTGCACATCTTTAAAGAGATCCCAAGCTTAGAAGTTATTCAATCAAAATTTTAAAAAATTATAACACATATCCCTCACTCAACTTCTGAATGCTTTAATACAGCTGGAATTAGGCTACATCTCCTTTGGGGCTCAATTAAGATTCTGCTGACTCAAATTTCTGGCTGATGCAAGTCTTTGGGGGAACTTCCCTGGTCCATTTCATCTTGCTAAACACGTTTGTTTCTACCCTAAAGAGATAAGTTAACAATGACTTAGCATACTGCGGCCTTTCCTCAATGGCACTTTCTCTCTTAGCTAGATAAAACTCTGGCTGAACTGAAGGAGAGAATTTGGGACTTAAATATTCAAACTGACAGAGTCAAGGTTTCCCATCTTTTCTACAGCGTAATTGTGCCCCCCACCCCGACTGTTGGTAAATATTCTTTTAATATCCGACATGCTCCTCATAGGAGGCTCTTTACTCTGACACAAACTGGGGCACTATCTATTAGGATGGCAATTAGCAGAGGCACTAACGCTCTGTATGAAAGCCACACTTCCCTGTGCAAAGATACGGAGGATGAATCTGCAACACATATGCTGTTAAAATGCCCATTATATATGCAACGGTGATCAAATTTCATAGCTCCAATTGTCAGTAATTTTAATTGCTCTTGTGAATATGAGATTATTGCTCTTCTTTTATGTGATTAATTCTCAGAAATTGATGCTGCAAAATTCCTATCGATAGCCATGGCTTTCAGAAACCACCTGGTGCTTCCTTCACTTTATTGTTTCAGAGTTTTTAATGTTTTTTTTTGTTTTTTAATTCACCATATTTGCTGTACTTTGCTTTTATGATTGGTCTTTGATCACAAATAAATACCCATAGATTTGTACCACATACAAAATTTGCATTTCTTTATGCTTAGATTCTATAATTCGATTTTACAGAATTTTAAAATCAGAATCTACCTTTAGTAATATGGATAGAATTTACTGTAGCTTATCTCATTCAGCGATTCATACTGTTTTGAACCTAGTCACTCAAATGCATGCTTTGTTTAGAGTTTTACAGTGATTTTTAGTCTTTTAAAATAATATAATACATTCAGTTACTCATAGTTAATTAATGATACATTGGAAAATTAAAACCTCCATGGCATTTGTAAATCCCTTGCTTATTCATTTGTATTTTATTATTTTGTCCCTTTTTCCTGTTTCTTTTTGACTGTTCATACATTCAGTTCAAATCTTTAATAGGTCTTGAAAAGTTAAACAGTTCTGAGCAATGTTTAAAGCTTTGACCCAAATTGTCAAGAAACAGGACATATATATTGAAATTATTAAGGTTCCTTAAACATACCCATGAAACACACAAATACTGAGGACTGGCAACTGTACTTGGTATGTATATATCTCATCAAGAATGGGGTGAGACAGAAAGTAAACATGATATAAAATAAGATCTTCACACTAAATCTATGAGGCTTCTTTAACAACACATTTGAATAGCATACAAACAGTGAAACCAGCTACTTGTAAGGTTTGCCTCGTTCAACAGAGAAACTCCCGTGACACGTGTGGTTCACAAAAGAGG